GGGATCGAGTCCCGCATCGGGCTCCCTGCTCAGCGGGGGGTCTGCTTCTCCCTCTGATCCTCTTCCCTGTCATACTCTCTGTCTCTCATTCTCTCTCTCTCTCAAATAAATAAATAGAATCTTAAAAAAAAATAGTCAAGGGCTATTCAAAGATCTATTTCATATTGGGTGAGTTGTAGTTTATGTTTTCTGAAGAATTGGTGCATTTCATCTAAGTTGTCAAATTTAAAGAGCTGTCTGTGGCATCCATTATTTGATGTCTAAACGGTTTGTAGGGATATCCCCTGTGTCATTCCTGATATTGGTAATTTGTGTCTTTTTTTCTTTTTCTTTTTCTTCTTCTTTTTTCTTTCTTTCTTGCTTGCTTCCTTTGTCAGTTTTGCTGGAAGTTTTAAAATTTTATTGGTCTTTTCCAAGAACCAGCTCCTGACTTTACTGGTTTTCTCTATTGTTATTCTATTTTCATTGATTTCTGCTCTCATCTTCATTACTTCCTTCCTTCTGCTTTGGGTCTACGTTGCTCTTCTTTTTGTAGGTTCTTGAGGTGGTAGCTTAGATTACTGAGTTGAGCTTTTACCTCTTTTCTCACATATGCATCTAGTGCTATGAATTTCCCTCTTAGGCCTGTTTTGGCTGTGCCCCACAGTGCCAACATTGCCCTCTGCTGATTGTCCTTTTTTCACTCGGTTTGAAATCTTCCTGTTTCTTGGTATGGCGAGTGGTTTTTGGTTGAGACCTAGACATTTCCATGTTGTAAGACTCTCGATCTTATTTAACCTGTTTTACCTGGCTTTCTCTGACAGCACAGTCAGGAAGAGGGGTACCATCTCCTTATTGCCAGGTGGGGGCAGAGTTCAGGTTCTGTATTTGGCTCCAGTTGACATCTGAGGAGAGGGCTCCTCCTCATGCTGGACAGGGGGTGGGAGGCCGGGCCCCCATTGGGCCTCCAGTGATACGCCTCTGGCTGGGGGTGTAGGAGTACATCCTTTCTGCTCCTCCCCTGCCTCCATTCCCGGCGGAGGTGGGGGTGGCCTGGTTGCTGCTCTCCATGAGGCCTCCTCCCACAACACCTGGCTGGGAGGGGCATTTGCTACTGCTGGGGGTGGGGGGCGTGGTGTGGGTCCAGGCTCCCCACATGGTCCCCACTGGCCTCATGGGCAGGGGTGCTCATTATAGGCTGGTGGGGATACTCAGCTTTCTCTGGCAGCACCAGGTGGGGTCTTTGCTGGCCTGGGTGGGCCCACCCCTTCCCTTGCCACGTCCTCTGGCTTGACAGTGTGGCTTCTGTGTCCCCATTTTTGAGGCAGAGGGAGGAAGCAGGGCCCTTGCTACCGTGCCTTCCTCGGCCTGAGGTCCCGGCCAGGCTGCCTTCTGCTCTCTACCTCTCAGACTTCTCATTCTTGTGTTAGGGATGTGGGGTTTCTAGATGTACGTTGGGCGAGTAGGGAAGTGGAGTTCTACCTTGGTTTTGAATATCACTTACCCAATTATAAGTTCATGCAATTTTATTTTATTATTATTTTTTAAAGTAAGCTCTATGCCCAATGTGGGGCTTGAACTCATGACCCTGAGATCAAGAGTTGCATGCTCTACTGACTGAGGCAGCTAGGCCCCCCAGAAGTTTGTACAATTTAATTTTTAACAATGGCTGTGTTTAACAAGTGCCTTGTAAATATTCTTGAAAGTCTAGCCCTGGACTCTCCCAAGCCAGCACGTATGCCCAGAGCTGTCCATGCAGAAGTCCCGCCCATCTTGGGATGACACCACCAGAGCCACGCCCTGCCACCTCCTGGGGAGGCACCTGCTAGGGGGATGCTGCCCAGGCCAGGAGAGCCAGGGCTCTGGATGTGACCCGCTGCTCTGGGGGAGGGTACCCTGCCTCCTTCCCCACTGCCAGGCTCTCGGGGCAGAAGGGGGGCTCCACTGGGGATGTGGGGGCAGGAAGCTGCAGGAAGGGATGGGGAGGGCCAGTTACCTTCTCAGTCACCAGTTCTTGCTCTGCAACCTCAGGAGCCAGAAAAAATGTGTCGTACGTGCCTAAGAGAGAAAAACCCAAGTTCTGAGCTCTCTTTTCAGCCTCGGGTGTTCGTGCTGGAGCAGCTCCTAAGGGTGACCCCACGTACGCACCATTGGCAGGGGGTGGGCTGAAGAGCACAGCCCCATCCTTGGCCACCAGCACAGAGTCCAGGCACAGGTAGGCTGCAAGAGAAGATGAGGGTCAGGGCAGCGGGACTCACTGTGGGAACCCTGTTCTCCCAGAAAACCCGCAGAGGTGTGCTCAGGGTAGGGCAGCCCCTCCCCTCAGCCCACAGACCCCCAGGGAGCACAGCCCAGGGGCCAGGGGCCAGTGGCTGCTGCTCCTTCTTAGAGGCCCTGGCACACTGCCAGGTGGACAGGGCATGGGGGGCCCTCTGCGACGCCCCTCCTGCCCGCTCCTTGCACATCAAGCTGGAAATGGAAAGGAGATGAAGGAAGAGGATGGGGCACGGAGGTCACGGCCCAGCACTGAGAGCTGCCCCTCTGAGGGGTCCCGGAGGAGGCTGCACCCCAAAGGCCTGTGGGGGCAGCCAGATGGCAGCATTTCTCCTCATCGTCCCTCCCCAGGACGTGCTCACATCAAGGGCTGTGGGCCTGTCACGCTGTCCAGGGAGCTGCAAACCAGGGTAGTATCTAAAATCCCCTCCTCCCCCGGCCACTTTTGCCTCCTTGGGGACAATGTCGCCCCGTTGAGGGGATGTGGGCCATCCACACAGCTCCCACTTCACTCTACAGCAGGGCTGTCTGCCTCAAGGCCCACATTCCAAACACCTGCCCCCACTGCTGCCCCCAGACCCCTGTGGTCCTGAGACCAGAGCAAACACCTCCAGGGCACAGGGGCTCACAGTGGGGACCCAGCCACCTGGCCCCAGGCTGTCCCGTGGCCCACATGCGCGTGATGGAGGCCACGTGAGGCTCTTGGTCCTGGCCCTGGAACACATGGGGGGGGCAGGCTGAACATGGAACCGCAGGACAAAGCATCACCTGGGTGCTCGCTGTGAGTGCGCAGAGCGGTGAGACACGCGTGGGACAGAGCCCAGAGCTCATACTCCTTGAAGGGCCGGCCCAGCTGGTACAGGAGCTCCTGCAGGGAGACGCCCTGGGGGCAGAAGTCACATCCTAGTGAGAATGGTCCCTGGGGTCAGCTTGGCCCAGCCCACTGGGAAGGTGACAGGGCAGGAACCACTTCAAATAAGGGTGGGATGTGCCTCCTGCACAGCGCACTCCTGCCACGTGGGCTGGCAAAGTCCTCACGTGGCCACGACGGGCTGGGAGGGCGGGAAGGAACCAGAACCCAGTGCACCTGGTGGAAATGTGGGGATAGCAGCATGGAGGCTCCTCAGGAATTGAACAGAGAATCACCATATGATCGGGTGACCCACCTCCAGGCTGAGCCTGAGGGCCTGATGCCGAGTGAAAGAAGCCAGACACGGAAGGACCAGCACTGCGTGCCCCACCTTCGTGAGGTCCCCGGGGCCGGCACAGTCAGAGACGGAGACGAGACGGCGGGCGCCGGGGCGGGGGAGGGGATGGGGAGCGAGCTTCCGTCTGGGAGGATGAGAGTCGTGGGGCCGGAGGGTGGGGCTCGCTGCACAACACGGTCAGCACCGACACTGCAGGAGGTCAATGGCTGGGGGCTTGGTGGGGGAGGGCTCATTTTATGGGACGTGTATTTTACTCTACCTCACCCTCACCGCCACACACAGAAATTTCCCAGAGTCAGAAGAACGCACTCAGCTGGAAGGTAGTTCTCCACTTAAAGGCCACGGGAAGAGCTAGGACCACAGCCACCACACTTGGGACATACAAGTGCACGCTTTAGGGAAGGTTCCCGAGGCACTGTCTCCACCTTGACCCCCCTCACGCCTGGGGTGCAGCAAGCCTGGCTGGAGGCCCATGATCCGGCCCTCCCCAAGCCTCCCGCTACATGTGCGGTTGGAGCAGCCTGCTTTGAAACCAGGACATGCTCTGCAGCAGAAGCCTGGGGGACCTGATCCCCAACAGGCTGTGCCTGGGGTGGGGGGGGTCTGGGTGGGCCCTGGTCTCATGAGGCCTCTGGGGCAGGGGAGCCTGGTGGTTAAGTAGCTGGGCTCCAGGTGAGCTCTGCCCCTCAGTGGCTGCCCACCCTCCAACAGAGTGCACGGCCACCCCATGCCTCAGTTTACCCATCTGGAAAGTGGGCTGTTGTAAGGCTGTTGGGTATGGGAAGGTGAGCCCAGTCCAGGGCTGGGGTGTGTGAGGTTTTCCTGCCTCAGTGGCTGGGACCTCTCTACACACAAGCCAGTATGGATCCAGGAGGCCAGCAGAGACCATATGAGCTGAGGTGTAGACACATGTGTGTGCACTGGGGTCTTCAAGATAGACATTTGTTTTAAAGTAACCAGAGTTTTGGGGTGTCTGGGTGGTGCAGTCGGTCAAGCGTCCGACTCCTGATTTCGGCTCAGGTCATGATCCCAGGGTCATGAGATCGAGCCCCACGTCAGGCTCCCTGCTCAGCGTGGAGCAGGCATCACGTCCAGCGTGAAGCCCAATGCGGAGACTGAACTCACGACCTTGAGACCAAGACCTGAGCTCAGACCCAGAGTCAGATGCTCAACCAACTGTGCCACTGAGGTGCCCCAGTTCCTGACCTTTAAGATCATCAGCGGAAGAAGACGCTGCAGCCCCTGAGCATGAGGGCTGGGGAACAGAGCCGCAGAGGTAACCCTGCTGGCCTGGGGCTGCCGGGCCTCCTCCTGGGAAGACTGCTCCCTGCACGCATCGTTTGGCAAGAACATTAACCCTGAAGCAGGGGTGTGCCTCCTTCAGTGAATGCGTGGGGTGCTACATGCGGGTGAAGCCAGGGGAGGCCTGAGTGTGTGGGGGTGCTCTCTGGGATCCCCCACCTCCGGGGGGGGCTGCAGGAGAGGCTCTGGCCTGGGGCCACACCTGCGGCTACAGCAGGCTGTCCTCACAGCTTCCTTCAGAAACAGGCAGCTTGCTTAAAACTTGTAAATTACTGAGCAGGAGTGAAGGCTGAGACTCCCTTCCTTGCGGTAGACCAGCAGCACTGCGTGTGAGACCACAGACAGGAGGGTGTGTGCGCATGCAGGGCCCCTTCCCGGCCACGTGGGACGGAAACCGCGATCACCCACCTGCTCTCCTGCTGCACTAGCCGGCTCCCCAGCTCTGTCGGGAGTCCCCTCATCAGCCCTGGAAGTCCTGGGCTCTGGGCCTGCATCTCCGGGGTCCTCGGAGCGGGATGGGGTGCTTTCCTCCACAGGGCTCCAGCCCAGTGCCCCAGATACCCTGTCCCCGCTTCGGCTGGCATCTCCAGGTCCTCTCTGCTGGAGCTCGGGCTCCCGCTCTGGCCACAGTCTGGACTTGGGCTGTGACTTGTAGCTGGAAAGGCCATTTTTCCCATCTAGAAAGGCCTCCCTGGGGTCTGGAGGGAAGACTTCAGATTTGGGTGGCTGGTTTTTGGTGGGGGTCAGCGTCAGGCAGAGGGTACCGGCCTCAGGGCCGTCGGGCAGGAGCCTGGGGAATGTCTGCACCTTCCTCAGGCGGCTCCTCTCCAGGTCACCCAGGGGGCGCTGGGTGTCCAGGATGAGGCTGGCCAGCCGCTCTCCGTTTCTCACAGGGGCTGACAGCAGGGCCTTGGAGGGCAGAGCAGCAGACTGCTCCGGGCTGCCATGGGCTTCAGGGGCAGGGCGCTGGGGCAGGCACTCTGGGTCTGCAGCGCGGCCCCCCGGCTGTTTCCTGGGCCCCAGGCCTCCTGCAGCAGGTCTCCCGCTCCAGCCGCTCTCGGTGACATCTGGGCAAAAGCAAGGTGATTGCTGCAGGGGCAGCGGCTGGGGACCTGAGCCCGGGGTGGGCATCCCTAGCGACCCCACCCGTCACCAGAGGGGATGCGGGCACCTCTCCTGCACTCCTGGGTCCCCCTCTCCTCCCCTCAGTATCGGCCCAGAACCATCTTCATCTGCCTCCTTCATTGCATAACCCGGCTGATTCCAACTATTGAGGCTCCAAAGGCTCCTGGGCCCCCTCCATAGCCTGCACGGGCCCCCTCGGGGTCTTCCTAAGGTCACCCAAGCAGCTTGTCTAAAGAGCCTTTGCTTTCTAGTACAAGTACACAGATGATGTCCCCAAAGGAAGACACTGAGTCTGGCTGCCCAACCCCCCCACCGTCCTGGTGCACAATCTCGCACGCAGGTGTCTGTGATCTCCATGGAGGCCCCTCCTTGTGGCCTGCAGCCCCTCCCATTGTGACTGCTCTCTGCTGCACGGCAGGAGACGAGCCTCAGGCCTGTGGTCTCTCGGGTGGCGTGCTGGCAGGCCCTGCTGCCACAAGAGGCTCGTGCGGGCCGCCCCTGAGGGCCCTCCGGGCTTCTTGCTGCAGGCACAGTGCAAAGCAGATGCTGACATTTGCTCAAAACATGACCTGAGACCATGCCAGAGTCCCACCCGAGCCGGGAAAATCCCAGATGCTTCAGCAACAGCTTCTCTGGTGGAGAAGGAATGGGCCTGCCAGACACCACGTGGTGTCAGCAAACAGAAACGAACTGCGCAGTGTCCCCGTGTCCATGCACTGGCATGCTCACAGACCCGGACAGAGACCAGAGGTCTAAGACTTCTCACTTCCCAACACCCCCAGTGGCCCAGGTGTCTGCAAAGTGTGTGCAAGGTGACTGAGAGTGAGGGTGAATGTGTCAGTCTGTGAGCATGGCTGTAAAATGGGTTTGTATGTGCAGGAGAGTGCTATGTTTATGCACAAGTGTGCATGCGTGTGATGAGTGTGCATGTGTACAAGTAGGTGTGTATGACCTTGCATTTTCATGTATGCCTCTGTGACTATGAGCAAGTTAGTATAAACACGTGTGTGTCTGTGGGGGCACATGTGATCTGTTTGCATGTGTGCATGTGAGTGTGAGTGTTTACATGGTGAGTACAATGGCATGAACATGGGTGTGTCTGATCTGTGCTAAAGCTTGTGTATACTCACGTGCACATGTGAGTGGGTACGTGCATGCATGTGTATATGTGTGCATGACTATCTGTGTGTGCATGTGTGTGTGCAAGAACACGTGTGCACGTGCTTACCTTGAAATGCTCCAAAGGACTCAATGGAGAGCACCCTCCTCCCGATGGCCGAGAGGCTCCGGCACAGACGGCAGGAGGACGTGAAGAGCATCTTCTCTTCACACAATGCTATGATGCTCTGTAGACACGCGTGTGAGAGCTCAGACGGGAAAGCTCACCATGGAGGAAGCCCTGCCCTCCAAGAGCCCACCCCCCTCCATGTCTATTTTCTGGCATAAAAAAGCAGCGTATCCTGCGATTACAGAAAACCAGGCGATTCTGTTCAGCCCATGAAAATTATAAGCCAAACCTCTTTATCATAACAATGTATAATGAAAGGTCAAGTTCTTATTTAAGCAAAATGCAAGGCCACCAAATCCCAGGTGAGGAAGAGCCCATGGGACCGAGGGGAGAGCGGTGGGGCAGGAGGGCCCTGTGTGTGTGTGTGTATGTGTGTGTGTGTGTGTGTGCCTGGGGCACTGGGGCCGTGGGGGGGGTCTCAGGTCTTTGCCTTGGGGGTGACTTTGTACCTCGAGGTCAGGCCGGTCCCTAGGGTCTTCCGCCTGCATCTGGCTCAGCAACGCCTCCAGGTCTTGGCTCAGCCTGGGCTCCGGCTCGGGCTCAGTCACGTACTCAAGGGCTGCCTTCAGCGTGGCCCCCAGAGAGTAGATGTGAGCCTGCGGCACCCAAAAGACTGTCAGTGCCCTGGGGCACAGCTTCTCCCCACACGGTCTCTGCTCCTCTGGCCAGGAACACATGTTTTTGGGGACCCCTGCTCTTGACAGTCTGTGCCGGGACAGCCAAGCAGCACCTCCCCCGGCACGGTGACTGTGCTGACACTAGGGCAGGGGCCCCGTGCTCGTGGGCGGGAGGTCTGCGCTGGCCTTGCTGCACTGACCGGTGCCCACCCCCCTGGCTTCCGGCTCACCCCAGCCCCGACCCAGCGTGTGCAGATGCTAGGATCCCCACCTGTGACGGCGGCCATGTCTCTGAAGGGCAGTCTTCTCTTTTCAAGTCTGCATTTCTCTGATTATGAATGAGACTGAGCATCTGTTCATTGCTATTCATGGTTCTAACTTTTCCTCTTTATGCCCATTCATGGGCTTTGCAACGTCACCACACTGTTTCCTGTTTGGGGCGCCCCCTTGGCATACTGAGGATTTGACTGCCGGTCTGTGTGCCACACATATGTTCTTTCCGTTTGTCACTTAGCTTTTGACGTAGTTCATGCATCTTTTGACATTCAAAAATTCTCATGTTTAATTTGTGAAATCAGACATTTTTTTCTTTAGCTCCTTCTTAGGAGGAACTTCCCTACCCCAAGATGACAAAAACAGCTTTCTTTTGTTTCCTCCAATATTTTTATAATTTTTACACATCCAGCTCTAATCCATTTGAAATTTGTCAACGTGCTGGCCATCTGTAGGGATCTGGGTTTGTTTCCCTCATAATGGAGAGCAGCACCCAGCAGCATTTAGAGAAGATCCCCCTCTGCTGCTGCCCGTCTGCTGGCTCCCCTGGGACCCTGGGTCCAGCTGGCCTCATCTCCTCTAATCCTCGTCTCCCCATGCGTCTGTCCTGTCTAGACCGTGCTATTTTAATTATAGTAGCGTCAGAGTGTATTTTCATATCCCGAGGACAGGTTGTCCCTTTTTTTCCCTCAAAAAGTTGGATCATTTTCACATTTATCAGGTTTTAAAAAACAAATATTAGTTCTCCCATTCCCATTCACAAAACAAACCAAAAATGGTTGCAATTTTATTGTAATTGCATTGACATTGCAGAATTTGGGAAGGATCAACTTCTTACAAAATAAAATGTTTAAGAAGTCACCAAGATGGCCAACAGGATGTCCCCAGAACCTGGCCCTCAAGAGCAATTCAGCCTCCACCCACAGCCAAGAGCACCTCCGTGGGGGCCGTGGGAGCCACTGCCTCATGCCAACGGACCTGGCGGGAGTCTCGCCCACCTGTGTGTCAGGTAACAGGCAGACAGACTTCTGTCCTGGCTGTGGGCCCTCCTGCTGGACTAGCCATGAGAAAAGGACTCAAATTTATAGGCTCAGACGTGAAAGAGGAGATGGTACAAGTAACACCAGAGAGGTATACAGGATCTTAAGAGACTAATAAGGATAACTGCACACCAACAAATTGGATAACCTAGAAAAAAATGGATAAATTCCTAGAAACATACAACCTATCAAGACTGAATCATGAAGAAATAGAAAATCTGAACAGACCATGAATAGTAAGGAGATTGAATCAGTAATCAAAGACCTCCTGACAAAGAAAAACCAAGGACCAGATGGTTTCTCTAGTGAATTCTACCAAACATTTAAAGAATTTTATACTAATCCTTCTTAAATCTTTCCAGAAAACTGAAGAGGAGGGAACACTTGCAAACTCATTTTGTGAGGCCAGCATTACTCTGATACCAAAGTTAGGTAAGGAACCAAAAGAAAACTATAGAGCAATATCCCTGATGATCACAGATGTAAAAGTTCTCAACAAAACACTAGCAAACTGAATTTAACATCACATCAAAAGGATCATACACCATGGTCAAGTGGGATTTATCCCTGGGATGCAAGGGTGATCCAACAACTGCAAATCAGTCAACGTGATGACTATATTAGTACAATGAAGGACAAAAATCGTATAATCATCTCAATAGATGCAGAAAAAGCGTTGGACAAAATTCAGCATCTTTCATGATAAAAACTCTCAAGAGATTGGGTATAGAAGGAACACATCTCAACATGACAAAGGCTACATGTGACAAGCCTCCAGCCAACATCACTCTCAATGGTGACCAGGTGAGAACTTTTCCTCTAAGATAAGAATGAGACAAGGGTGCCCACTGTCCCCTCTCCTATCCAACACAGCACTGGAAGTCCCAGCCAGAGCAATCAAGCAAGAAAAAGAAATAAAATACATCCACATCAGAAGGGAAGAAGTAAAACTGTCTCCATCTGCAGACAATATGGTCTCACATATAGAAAATCTTAATGACTCTACCAAAACTCTGTTAGAACCAATCAACAAATTCAGTAAAGTTGCAGAACATAAAGGCAATATGAAGAAGTCAGCTATCTTTCTGTACCCTAACAATGAAATATAGGAAAAATAAGTAAAGAAAACAATCCCATTTACAATAGTATCAAAAACAAAAACTATAATTAGGAATAAATGTAACCAAGGAAGTGAAGTTTTGTACATTGAAAAGTTTAAGACTCTGGTGAAAGAAATTAAGGAAGACTCAAATACATGGGAAGATATCCTGTGCTCATGGACTGGAAGAATTAGTGTTGTTACAATGTCTATACCACCCAAAGTCATCTCTAGATTGAATGCAATCCCTATCAAAATTCCTGTGGCATTTTTCACAGATATAGAGAGAACAACCCTGAAATTCATATGGAACCACAAAAGACCCCTAAATAGCCAAAGCAATCCTGAGAAAGAAGAACAAAGCTGGAGGCACCACACATCCTGATTTCAAACTATTTCAAAGCTATAGTAATGCAAAGAGACGGTACTAGAATAAAAACAGACACATAGACCAACGGAACAGAATCGAGAGCCCAGAAATAAACTAATGTCTATACAATCAACCAGTATTTGACAAAGGAGCCAGTAATACTCAATGAGGAAAGGAAAGTCTCTTCAATAAATGGTGTTGGGAAAACTGGAAAAGAATGAAATTGGACTATCTTACACCACTTACAAAAATTAACTCAAAATGGACAAAAAACTTATAACATAAGACCCCAAACCATAACTCTCCTAGAAGAAAACATAGGAAAAAGCTCTAAGACATTAGCAGTGATATTTTGGATGTGACACCAAAAGCACAAGCAACAAAAGAAAAAACAAATAAGTGGGAAAAACATCAACTGCCAAACTTCTGCACAGCAGAGGAGACAGTCAACACAATGAAAAGGCAACCTATAGAATGGGAGAAAATATTTGCAAACCATCTGTCTCACAGGGAGTTAATATCCAAAATATATAAGGAACTCCTACAACTCAAGAGCAAAGAAACAATCTGATTAAAAAATGGGCAGAGGAACTGAACAGACATTTTCCCAAAGAAGACATCCAGATGGCCAACCAGACACATGAAAAGATGCTCAGCATCACTCATCATCAAGGAAATACAAATCAAAACCACAATGACATGTCACCTCACACCTGTCAATGGCTGTTATAAAAAAGACAAGAGATAATAAGTGAGGATGAGATAATGGTGAGGATGTGGAGCAAGGGGAACCCTCCTACACTGTTGGTGGGAATGCAACCTGGTGCAGCCACTCTGGAAAACAGCACGGAGGATCTCAAAAATAAAAAATAGAATTACCATACTATCCAGCAATTCCACTTCTGGGTACATATCCAAAGGAAATAAAATGAGGATCTCAAAGAGATATGTGTGCTCCCATGTTCACTGCAGCATTATTTACAGAAGCCAAGATGTGGAAGCAGCCTAAGTGTCTGTCTTTGGATGACTCGGTAAAGAAATACGGTCTAGAGATACAACAGAGTACGATTCAGCCACAAGAAAGGAGGGCCCTCGAGGGCATTATGCTGCGTGAAACAAGTCTGACAGAGAAAGACAAATACCGTATGATACTACTTCTGCATGGAATCTAAAAAAGCCGAACGCTCGGAAACTGTGGAGTGGAGGTTGCCAAGGGCTGGGGGTGGAGGAGACAGGGAGACGTTGGAGAAAAGACCCAGGGCTGCAGTTATGAAACGAGTGAGTTCCTGGCATCTAACGTGTGACTCAGTGACACGGTTAGCGATAATGTATTACATACTTCGAGGTTGTTGAGAGAGGAGATCCTAAGTGTTCTCACAACCAAAAGAAACAGCGATTGCACGATGGAGGTGTTAACTAACACTACTAGAAGTGGGAATCATCCTGCAAAACACAAACGTATCAAATCATTAGTTTGTGCACAAACTCACACCATGTGATAGGTCAGTTACGTCTCTGAAGAGGTGGGGTGACGCTCAGGTGCAGGGACGGGTCTGTCTCCTCATCTTCTTGTGTCTTGTTTTCTCATCTTTAGAGAAGTGGTTCACTTTACATTTCTAGCCCTCCTGCTATATTTACTCCAGACTTTCTATAGTTATTGCTATTATAAATGAAACATTTTCCATTTCATCTCTAACCAGTAATTACCAACACAAAAAGAAGCTACTTATTTTTTGGGATGTATCTTGTTTTCAGCTGGCCTCTGAAGTCTCTTATTCTATCATTTTCCACTGAAGTCTCTTAGATTTCAGGCCCACAAGCTTGTCATCCACAGACAAAGCAATCCTGCCACCCGAACTCCTACACCACTCAGTGTTGGTGGGCCCATGTACATGGTTGAGCTGCACTGGTGACCCCTGAATCCATCCACTCTTTCCATGCCCAAAGCTGGGTCCCTGGGCCACTACCCCACATCTCACAGAAGACATTGGAACCCCCAGCCCTGGTCTCCATGTGGAGGGCAGCCTGCCCTCCCTTCTCACACACTGACCATGCCGATCACACCCCAGGTCCCCTGCCTGGGTCCCCACATAGCCAATATCCAGGGCTTCCTGAAGAGGCCAAACTTAAGTCAAGCTGCTGCATGGACTCAGGGCAGATGTCTTGTTTTAGGGACCCTGCTGGCTGCGGATTCTTG